AGGTAATGAGTGACATGGGAAGTTTGACTGTCAACACTAATGTTATAGTTTAGCTGACATTTTAGATTTTACCACCTTTAAATTAATCAGTGATGGCTACTATTTTATTTCTGCTTTACTAGTTTTATAACTTCAATTGACTTCTCTGCAGTTTATTTATTGTTTTGTTGATGTTGAAAATCACTTTAAATATAATTTCATTATAAACATGCATTTAAATATTTAAAATAAAATAAACTCTTTGCATTCCTCTATTTCTTCTTTTGCTTATACATTTTCAGTCACTTGAAATGTTCAACTGAAATAGGATTGACTTTTTAATTATATTTTTTGATTCTCACTATTCAGAACATGGGATAAATGGCCATAAAAGAGGAAACTGGGCAATGTTTGTTGGATATGTTTCTCACCGTAGAGGTAGCTTATGTGAGAATAAGTAATATAAATGTTTTGCTGAGGTGAATGATTAGTACCATACTGTTTAATTGAATTCTGCAGCATAGCACGACAAGGCAAACATCTTGATTTCATTGTCCCAGAATGAATTTTAGCATTGTTATTGGCAAGTTTGGTTTTTGGATGTCAGTCAGGCAAGTACTGTAGTGTTACTTAGAGAGAGAGAGATATTTTGGAATGCTTTATTTTCGTATATTTTTTTATTTAAGTAAATGTATTTTACTGGTTTGAAAAATAATCATTGTATAGTATTTTTGACTAGTCTTTTTTTCATCAACATTCTTTAGCTAGTTTAAAAATAAAATTAGCTTTTAGTGTAAAAATCTAGCTTTTAAAGATAAATAGGGTCTATTCAAAATTTGAGTTGTTTGCAGAATTGGAGTTAGGATGTTATAGTATCTACTGTTATTTCCTATAATCACCAATGATTCTAAAACCCTGACCACACAATACTCATAAAAATCTTGTTGAGAATTTTGAATAGATAAACCTGGTACTTCATTTATAGAAAAAGTGATGTTACTGAAATGTCTTGTTATTTAATTTTAAAAACAAATAGGAACCTAAGAATTGAATCATGGCAACTGGACTTATTTTTTGGTTTGAATCATTTTACTACTTATTGAAGTAGCTTCTTCAGTCTTCTGACCCATAGGATATTAAAACCAATGCTCCGTATTTAATCGTCTCAGGAGCAAGCAATAATGTTGCTGATCCTGAAAGTTCTAGGAAAAACAAATTAGCTGGATCCTTTCCAGTCTAGATTCAGTTCATGCATAGATTGGCATGGAGGTACTTTTGTTCCCTAAAGAATGTAGTAGGAGAGAAATGGAGAATACAACTTGTTGAGATTCTGGATTTCTCAATGAGTTTTGATACTGCTAAGAACAATAATCTTTTGGAGACTTCCTGCTTCGAACATTGGAGATGCTACTTAGCTCTTACTTACTACTGTGAAACAATTATTATTTAGCATGTGATGAGAACATGACAGAAGAGAAGCAAACACACACACATAGTCTATGTAATTATAAGTAAAACTTCTATGGCAGTGGCTTCATAACTGGATGTCCAGTTCAGCTATTCAGGCGATTGCCTCTGGCATTGCTTCATGCAGATCTTCTAGGAAATCAGAGAATCACATTGTGAACAAATTTGCACACTATGTTTAATAGTTTGCATATCAGCAGCATAATCCGAACAAGGAAAATTCCCACTGATACAGGGCTAAGGCACTTCTTTCAGCATGACATCTAATTTTGTTCAATTTCAACCAGACAAAATGAGGCCAGTAAAACCAGGTGGTTTAGTAGAGGGATTATCTTGGACCATTCCTGTATCCAGGCATTCTCTGGGTTAAACTGGGTAGATGTTAAATGAATAGATGTTTTCCAAGTTGACCTATGGGATTTCAGTGTTGTGATTGGCTGTGCATTGTCCTGGTGAATAGGCAGGACCTTGTTCAGCATCTTTGACCATAGCTGAATGAGAGCTTGTTGACGTCTAATGTGAAGTGATATGATATTGCTAAGGTCAAGTAACCAGTGCATAGGAGTGTTATGCAATGTGCCACAGATGATATACATTGTCTAGCAGAGTTGGACATCAACATTTTGGTATGGGTATTATTACTATACATGTAGACACAATTCAACTGTGTAATAAATCAAAGCCATGGAGCTTAGGAGGTTAGCATCAACACCCCATGGTGTTCCAGCCAGTCTGTTCAGTAAATAGTTGTGACTTTTCAATTTTTCTACTGTTTTTTCTAGGTGTTGCTGGACAGTTAGTGATCTCTCCAGTGTTACCTGTGTACTTAAGGGTACTTCAGGGAATTACTATATTATAAAATATAGTTCTAGACTTCACTGAAGGCTGGTAATTTATATAGCTATTGCTAAGGTAGAATGTGGCTACTTTTGTTTTTGTTAGGCTTGGTCGGAGACACCTTTTTTTAAAGTAGTCATTCAGCTTTTGAGAGAAAATGTTTTCTGCATCCTTAAAGTTGGTTCGTTGGACTGTGAGAATGATATTATTGGCATAAATAAATTTATGAGGAACAGTTTCAGGCAGGCTATGGATGAAAAAAGAACAGAGGATAGCACTGATCCTTGTGGAAGTCCAACTTATGATGTCTGCTTCTATTGAATTCGGTGAAAACTTGAAATAACTTGTTACTCAACATGCTGTCAGTCAAGGCAGTGATGTTACAACAAGGTACTACCCTTATTAATTTGAGGAGAAGTCCTTTCATGATCATCATAGGCTGCCGAGAGGTCAAGACAAACTGAGAAATTTTTCATTTTCCTTTGGAATTCATTCTCCAGATAGAAAGTTAATGTAAGGACTTGATCCCTACAGTCTTGTCTTGGACAAAATCCAGCTTGTTCAACTTGGATTACAGATTCTACTGCTAAGGCTGTTCATTTAACACAAGTCTTTCTAAACATTTGTAGGTGACATAGAGAAGAACAATTGGCCTATAACTTTGGGGAACTTTTGGATCCTTTTCTGATTTCAAAATTGCAATTATTTTGGTCCTGAAAATAGGAGACAGCCAATATGAGTGTAGTATGGAACTAAAAAAGGAGGCAAGCCAGCATTTAATTGCTGGTCTACAGTTCTTCAGTAGTTCTTGATATATGCCATCAAATCCTGTAGCTTAACTTTTTTGTAAAGAATCCAGCCTCTCTGCACTTCTGGTATAAACAGTGTGAGTATAAAGCATGTGGTAGAAGATCATGCTTCAGTAATCTAAATTCAGATCTAATTTGTCTAGTGAATTTTTGGAAGGCTAAGTCAATCTTGAGCCTGGTGAGATCTGAACTGCCAAACTGCTGGCAGCTGGTGATCAGCAGAAGTAGCCTGCAGTGTTGTATTCCATCCACTGAGCCACCCCAGCTCATAATGCTGGACAACCATGTAATATCTGTGAAAGAAAACTCTTAACTTAGATTGAGAAACAGTTATATCAGGAGAGAGACCAGGATCAGTGTCACATTATTTTTGTAATTCTATAATTATTTTTCTGAGATCCAGAAAGCAATATGGTCCTTAGATTATGAACTAAATGGATACTGTTTTCAATGGCAATTGGAACCTGGATTGTTGTTACTAAACTGTGATCATAAAGTACGATGTCATGTTTAATGACAGCATGTCAGATTTAGTGCTGCCATAAGGCACAATGCCATCATTTAATTACTGAAGTCCTGGCATTCCCTGTTGCTGTTGTAACCAGAGGTGGGCTGCTGCTGGTTTGCACTGGTTCTGATGGACCAGTAGTTAAGATTAGGCGCAGTTCGGTGAACTGGCAAATCCCATTACTGGTTGGCCCTGCCCCTGCCTGTTCTTCGGCCTGTTTTGGGGGCCGTTTTCAGGCAGTTTTTCAGACAGTTTTCAGGGCATGGAGGGGCATTTTCAGGCCATTTTCTGGGCTATAAACGGCCCCCAAAATGGCCCGAAAACAGCCTGAAAAACATGCTGAATAATGGGAAGGGGCAGGGCCAGCCAGTGGTGGCACTTGCCCCAACCGGCTGAAACTTACCTCTTCTTTCGAGGTGAGTGGCTGGGAGGTGGGGCTGGGTGTGATGAGTGACATCACCCACCCAGTCACATGACCAACCGGCCACGCTTACCGCACCAGAGAACCAGCTGTTAAAAAATTTGTAGCTCACCACTAGTTGTAACCCCATGTCTGCATGGATCATTAAGTAAGAAGTGGGAGATAAAGAACATGGAAAAGTGGAGGGCTCTCTGAGTATACTGGTGCAATGGCAGCAGGTGGGCTCTGAAGACAAGGGATACTATATAGAGTATAGATCCCAGGGATTTATAGGGGGTATTGGGGGAAAAAAGCGGTGGGAATGATTGATGAGAGCTAATTGTTCCCTATTGACTTCATGATTGACTTTTCTGGGAAGCTGGTAGGGAAGTTTGTAAATGGTTATTATGTGACTGCAGCTTGCAGTAATGGTTACCTGGGTCATGATGACATGTTGGTGGTGATGCTGCAGCAGCTGCAACTTGTAGACCAGTCACAAATTCCCCTTTTTCAGTTCTGTCATACTTTTGAATGAACTCTGAATGAATGATTGTAACTCAAGGATTACCTGTAATAGTTTGGGCTGGCTTTATAGAATTAATATTGTTTTATCTTAGGATATTTTTCTCTTAGACCTTTGTGAGGGATGATACCAATGTTCAAATATCTCCCACCTGACAGATTTGTGTTTGAGAATATAATATACTGCTGAATAAATTTTTACTCTCCTGTATATAGTGATAATGGAGGCAATAAGTGAACACACATATAAAAAAATTAGAGTAATTTTATTTTTGTGCACTTCTGCAACTTATGAAGGTCTCTTTAATTCTGTCTCTCGTATCAATTAGTACTGGCTGGTTCTGTTGATCTTTTACAAAATAATTTTGGGGAGTATTATAATTTGAAAAATTCACAAAAGACTAAATAATTAAACTATGTAATTACTATGGTTTGAAAGTCCTTAAAAAACAAAAGTTATTTTATTTTTTCAAAACAGGAAATGAATCTATGACAATATCCCCAACAGGAACTCTTTTATTCCAACATTTCAAATCTTACATGAGTGGAATTTACACATGTTCCCTAGTGTTTAAGCCTACTACTGAGCAAGAAGAAAAAAGCTATTTAATTAAATATGTTATTTATGGTAAGACAGCTCTCCTTTTTTGTTTTTCAATGTTTAGTTTTTTAATCAAAGGTATATAATGAATTCACCACAGTGTTAAGCATGTTGCTGCAATTAATGTGTAACCAGCTAAATCAGAACAATTGGTATTTAAATACTTTTGGTACAGAATATAGGCATATAGATTTTCCTGTAGTTTTTTGCTTCTTTTAAAAAGGTAGCAAGAGATCTAATTAAGTAGAAAACTCTGAGAAAGTAGAAAAATAACATCTAACTAATAGCTCATATATTAGGGATAAGTGAAATGTTCACCTTAAGGCTATGTTTAACAACTTGGATAAAACTGAATTCCGGAATTTTAACTCAAGCTTCAAGTAAAGCATCCTGTGATCCAGAGTTTTCTCTCAAGTTTGGATCAAAGTGTGCAAATGTTTCAATATCCTGTGGTTGGTTTTATTAAAACATTCCTTGAAGCTATGGCTTTAAAACATGTATGATTTCAGTTTTTGCTGCCACTGATAGTTAAGCACATTTTAGATATTGAGAAATATTTTGAAGATAAAAATAATGCTTCCCCCCTGATAAAGTATTTCTTAGGTAATCTGAGTTCATGCATTGTGTTCAATGTGTGTTGTGCTCCTTTTGTGAGGCTAGCCAGTAGCTGGCACTCACAGTTGCCATACCCATTTCTATGGTTGTAGAATGAAACAAAGTTTAGTGTCAAGTTGCCATTATTCCATATGACAGAACACACAAAACAATTTATCATTAGGATTGAAACTGCTTAAAGCAGTCTGACAAAGCAATATTCAATTCTTTAATTGTTTAATTCCAACTTTGAAACAAAATTTGGGCATTCTATTCAGTATTGCATTGTAATATAAACATAGCGCATTCTAAAATCAAACTACCTTTCTTTAAAGTATTTTCCCTTTGGAGTATTATTTAGAAAATATTTTCATTCTATACTAGAGAATTAAGAAATCATAGCCAAAGTTTGTTCTGTGGTTAGATTCAGATAGAATGGTCTTAGGCAATAAACCATAATATGAATATGTTACTTGTTTGCATATTTCCTCTAAGCTGTCCCTTTCCCAAAAGCTTGTAGCTTATTGGTGTTGAGGTATATTTCAAATAGTTTCTTATTACATCAGAACAACTAAATTAGTTTAATTCCTCTTACACTTTCAGATTTTGATAGTAAAGATGAATTTAATTCTAGTTTATGTCAGCCCAATTCAGTTAATGAAATCCACAGGAATTCCACAAGAAGTCTAAAATTATTTTTATTGAGATTGGTTATGTTGTGCAAATCTGAGTGTATGATGTTTTCTCCCCTTTCTTATACTTCAGTGAATTAAGGAGGTCTCTCTGACCGGCTTCTAAACATTATCTGGACATGGTGGGCTTTCTACTTGTTGCCTTGACAGCCAAGGTTACATATCTCTGTCAAGGTCCTATATAACAGGGGTTGCCAACCTTTTGGACCTCAGGGACCACCAAACTCATAATTTTAAATCCCAGGGACCACTAACCAGTTCTGTGGTTATGGCCTAATTTATGGGTGTGGTTTGGTGATCATGTGAGTGGCTGGGCATGGCTTGTATGTAAATATTATATTTATATAAATATTGTTTTTTTAATAAAAAAAGAGCAACTTTTACCCAAAATCAGGGAAAGTAGGCAGGCAGATTGAGTTGCTCACAGAATCTCAGATTCATTCAGAGATCTATCTTTCTGCCATCGGCTAGCTCAGTCTGTCACATAAAATTTGCTTGCAAGCAAACTCACAAAATTAATTCACAATACACCATGTATGTAAATATTGATTTTTTTTATTTAAAAAAGAGCAACTTTTACCCAAAACCAGGCAAAGCAGGCAGGCAGATTGAGTTGTTCATATAAATCTATCTATCTGCCATTGGCTAGCTCAGTCTGTCACATAAAAAAAATTGCCGTGAGTCTGCAATGAATAATAAACCTTCAGTCCTAAGGAAGGTTCAGCTGTGCTTAAAGGCAGAGCTGAAGATCTAAAGACTAGTTAGAAAGCAAGAAATCCAACCATTTCCTCCTTCCTAGCTAATCTAAATCTCCCAGTACACCAGAGCAGCTGATGGTTGGAAAAAGGAAAAATAGCAATTTAGCAGGCAAGTTTGCCGGGTAAGGAGTGAGTGAAGGTTTCCGCGGGCCATGTGGGCAGTGCAGCTTTGTGTTTCTGCACAGCCTGGATTAATTGTTTTGGGGGGCACTCTGGGGGTGACATTTCTCTGTGGTCCACCAAAATTTTCTCGGGGCCCACCAGTGGGCTGCGGCCCATCGGTTGGCGACCGCTGCCATATAATAATCTTTACAGATTCTGGATTGGGGGAAAAATGAAAATTGTAGTTTGAATAAACTATTAATCAAATGGTTATTGAAGGTAACAAAATAGGTTTGATTGAAGCCTAATTCTTAAAATATTGTATCTTGATCATGATATAATATTTATTTTTACTAAGATTTTTCTATATATGCATGGGTTGAATTGATCCAAATGATAGAATATTTTCTTTGTTTTAAGTTAAATGTTATTGAGTCCTAATTATTTTAAAGTATATCAACGATTGTTAATTAATAGTGCAAAAAGTATCTTAATTTCTCAGAAATATTTAATTATTTATATATTAGGATTAGGTTAATCTCAGAGGGTAATGTTTGCTGTGATAGCACTTTCTTTTTTATTTTCATATGCTGTAGAGCAGGCATCCCCAGGGCATCATCGGGGCTTGAGCCCTTCAGAAATAGGCTGCAGAAATGGCAGGTGAGCATGTGCAGGTGCATGCATACCCTCTTGTATGAGTGGCAGGCAAGCACACATGCACTCCAGTTGCACAATTGGTAGGTGCATGTGTCTGCCACTTGCACAAATGGAGCTGTGCATGCTATTGTGGCCCGCCAGCAATGCTGGGGGCAGACTTGGACTGTGAGGAGATTGGGGAGAAACATGGGCCAGTTGTCAGGGTTCCGGCATTTTGTAAACATTTTGAATACACGTTCTATAGTTGACACCAGTCCTGAAGTCTGGGGAAGGCTCTGACAAGTGCTCTGTATTGGAGGCAGAGATGGGGCAAGGCCGTCTGACAGTTATCAGCTGCCTTAGGAGTTGGAGATCAGTGGGGCTGAAGCTGTTCCCAATGTGTGCATACGCAGAGCTGCCAGGAGAAGGGAACAGTTAAGGAACAAGGGTCCACTCTGGAGTAAAGGTACAGGTGGATAGTGAATGGCCCCTCCCATAGGGAATAAAGAGGCGCAAAAGAGGAGTGGTGTTTGCAGGAGTCAATTAGTTCATTTAATTAGGGTGAAGATTTGTTTGTGACTCCTTGCCAAGTACTTTCTTGTACAGCATTGCACTTGGAAGCTATCAGCCTGGCAACTCTTTAAGCCTGGTAAGGTTTGTGGTTGTAAATCACTCTTGAAAAACTGTTTGCCAGGACTTTGCTGGATGTGAATGATAGGAATTCACATTAGCCTAATTAAAAGGGGTTTTGTTGGGATGAGGCATGTGCTTCATGATTTTGGTGAAGCTTATATCAAAACACATGCACACTCACCTACCTCTCATGCAGAACCACCCCCTTCCTCTCCCAGCCCATCTTGAAAGCCGGAAAGGTGGAGGAACTCCACTGTGGAGGCCTTCTTTTTTATGTAAAGTTGTTTCTTGTATTCAGGTCTTGCTTTGGGCAATTTGGATCAATGCAATAGCAGTGATTAAGATGCTGGCCTTGTTGGCTGGGAAAGCCAGCAGCCCAGGTTTGAGACGAGTGCCATGCAAACTGGGTGAGCTCCCTTCCTTGACCCAGTTCCTGCCAACCTGGCAGCTTGAAAACATGCAAATATAAGTAGTTAAATAGGTACCACTTTGGTGGGAAGGAACAAGTGCTCCGTGATATAATGCTGGCCACATGAATAAAAATGTTTTTGGACAGCATTGGCTCAATGATCTTGAAACGGAGATGAGCACCATTCTCTATAGTTGGCAATGACTAGTGGAATAAAATAACTATCAGGATAACGCTCAATAGAAAACATGTTGGGGGAGAGAAATCAGGATCTACACTGAACTTGCAAAATATGCAGATGACTCTACTCATGATACAGGAATCCATGACAAAAAAACAAGAGTTAATGGCAAGAAATCATGAGGAGATTAAAAATGAGATGGGAAAGGTGAAGGGAGACATCCGTAAGTTGGACGATAAAATAGGAATGATACAAGAGGCAATAGCCAAAAATGAACAGAAAATACAGGTGGTGTGGAAAAAAAACCCAGAATTAACAGAAAAGAAATTAAAGACAATGGAACAAAAATTAATGGCAGTAAATAGAGATTTGGAAGAAGCAATTGTCCATTTGGAAATGGAGAAATCAGCTTTCTTTCTGAGATTACAGAATGTAGTGGAAAATAAAAAGGAGGACCTTTTAAAGATTATGACAGGACTATTAGCAGATGCCTTACAAAAAAGTAGAGATATAGATGAGATTCAAGGAGATATAGATGAAATATACAGAACACACACAAATTACACAAGGCATCATAAACTATCAAGGGACACGTTAGGTTTCCAGGAAAGCAACAAGGGATGAAATATATAAGAAGACAAGGGATGAACCCCTAAGCCACAAAGGAAAGGAGATCATAAAATTAAAACAAATTCCAAGAAGAGTTAGAGAATGAAGAAGGGATTACCACTTTGTCATGCCCCTGGTGGAGACTGACTCTGAGGGAGAGGAGGAATACTTGAATTTGCTGCTGTAAAAATTGGCTATTAGAGGGAATTAATGATTATATTTGAAAGAGATGAACACTGTAACCCCATTACAGATTGAAGCAGAATACTGTAAGATTGGACATACTGAAATAGGTTTTTTTCAGCAATGGATCCAGAATATTATTTTTATAGTCAGAATAAAAGAAGGAATATAAAGTTGATTTATTTGATCAAATTTAAAATAGGTATATTGCTATCTAGAGTAATCCTAAATGGACTCCTGTTGAGATCAGGATTGAAATGCTTTCAGGATTTTTTTATAGACGAGAAATGAGATTTGGAAGAAGAGATTATTTGTTGCATTTCAAGATAAAGTGATAGGTTACTAAAATGCCTATACTTATTATGACAGGTGGGAAGTCATTTCTTAATATATTTCTCTTTTTATACAATAGTCTTATTTTTTTCTTTTCTATTTCTCTGTTTTTCTTTGTTTTTTGTACCTTTTACGTTTTATCCTATTTTTTTCAACATGTAATAGTTTTTGTTGTTGAAATTATATTCTAATAAAATTTTATATATGCAATATATGAATTGTGTGAATATATTGTTTGTAGTTATTTATATTTGTTTCTTTTCTCTATCTTAATTTGAAAATAATGGTCTTATTTTAATGGGGTATACTATTATTAATGTATACTAATGTGGCAATCCTATTTCCCCTAAGCCCTTTTTGAATTGGATGAATCTTTTCCTATGAAAACAGAAGTAGCTTATTGATTGATTAATCTTGCGGTGTTATCAATAAAATAAAATACAAAGTCTAATTCCAGAATAAAATAGATAGGAGGAAATGCAATGATAAAATACATATGTAGTTATACAAGGAGTCAGCAATCAGATGAATCTCCATTACTGGGCACGTCAATTTGTTCAATGTACCAGGTTCTTGGGACCGTTGCCTTAATTATAACCTTAGCAGTTTTGCATATAATACTTACGTTTGAGCCCAGGAGGAAACATGACTGTCTATGGTTCAGGTCCCAATGGGCTGTTCTTTCCAATATTTAAGCCTAGTGGATGTATATAATTGATAGTTGAACAAAATATGATAAATATTTTCAGTGGCTAGGATATTGTATATATAGGCTCTCTTATAATATGGGAAGTGATAAAAACACCCATTTTGGCCATGGAGTTCAGCAACTCAAATCTTGCTCTGGGACAGGCCATTCTTAAAATATTTTGTCAGACTTGCAAACAGGTATTCTTCAGGTTGAAAAGTAGTTTTATTTTTAATCAGCCAACTTAAAAGATCTGTTTTTATCCAGCAATCCTCCCTTTTTATTGTTACAGCATATCTTTGAAGAAGACAGTGAGTTTTAGTATCTGATCATCTTTGTATTTCCATCTCTAAATGAATTTTTCAGTCTTGATCTGCCTATTCTTAAGTCAATAACTTCACTAATATACAACCCATGTAATAAAAAATACATTAAGAAAATTAAATGTCTAGATCTCAACTTCAAAAATTCATGAGTTATTTGTAATCAAAAATTCTTCCTCTTCTGATTCTTGAACAATGAACAGTATGTTGACAATGGTTGGATAAAATTTTATCTGCTGTTCAAAAGAAAAAGATCCCATAGGAGAATTCCAACTAGTTGAGTACACTTAAAGTAGCAACTTTGTTCCTGAATGTAATATTCTAGGGGATTGTATTTCTTCTCCTTTGGTGCAATTAATTCTTGTTTAAAAAATAAATTCAGAAGTTTTAAGTCTTAATCTTGGTATCTTGATTTTTTTTCAATCTAAACTTTTTTTTCCCTGCAGCTTATTCTGATCCTAATTTTTACTATGAGTTTACAGCACGGTATCATTCAGCTCCCTGCAATAGTATCTATAATACTTCTTTTGAAAAGAAGCTGCTTCAGATATTGGCCAAGCTTGTTGTGGAGCTAGCCTGTGAGGTTTCATTAGAAAAGTCTGAATGCCATCATGTAAAAATGCAGAGAGCTGGAATGCAAAATGAATTATTCTTCACTTTTAAAGGTAAGACTAGCTTGAAGAGTTGTTCATGGATGCCCATGTTTTCATGGTATGTTGAAAAAAATTTTTTGTCCCATATATTAAAGGTGTATCTGACAGAAGTTACATAAATTGAGATATTAATTAATTATGTACAATGAAATAATTTTGACAGCTTGCTGATTTAGTAAATGACCAGATCATTTTAATTATATATTAAGAAAGTCATATTATGACTGAAATAATGACTTCAGTATAACCCTGTTATTCAGTTTTCTTTGCCTTTGTAGATATTTTCAATAATAAAACATAGTTCAGTATTAGTTAATAATGGAGCACTAGTTCTGAAAAATGTTGATGTATTTAGAAAGCAATGAACTGTTATATGCAAGATTTATTATTGACCATATTGTAAGCCATTAACTTATATTTATTGTGGCATAAACCTCTGTAGACTAAATTTATAGGTTGCACTGAGAAAAGTTGGTAAATTCAAATTTTAAAAAATTTAAGCTTTGACATCCTGGAGTTGAAATGCAAGTGATTCTCATTATTGGCAATGGTTTCATTTAGGTCTAATAAGAGCAGATAAGTCCTTGAAAAATATACTTGACCCATCCAAGAAATCCTATTTTGTGGGGTAATAAAACTGTGATGATAACAAAAATGACTGTTCACATAAACAGTAAATATATATTGTGATCTTTATATAACTACACATTCTCTTGTTCCTTCAGTCTAAATCTTACTCCTTTGTACCATAGCAAGTCACATAATTGCTTTGTTTGATCCAATACTGTGTGCTGCAATATATTTTGGACAACAAGAGTCTTCTTTAAAAAGAGGTCTTGATATTCAACTTAAAAATTTTGACTTCTGATTTACATATTCTATATCAGAGGTCTCACATACTCTAAAATGGATTGTTCATTGCATCATTTACATATTCACTGAGTATAAAAGTAAAAATTTGGTAATACAGCGTACTTTTCAATTATATGTGCAAGAGGATTAAATTCTTTAATTGATTATTTTAAAAAAATACTGTTAAATAGATGCCACAGTGGCTGAGAATACCTTAGTGATCTCAGCTGATCTCTAAAATTTTAAGTGGCGTGGACCAAAATAGTACTTTAGATTGGCGACTTCCAGAAAATCTAGCACTGTAGAATAAAGTGAGATGTTGAAAAATACTTCGGAAGATTGCATTGACATACTACTTATTAGATGTTGGCAAGAAAGTGACATGGATATCTAGTCAGCAGGAGTTGAAGTTGACTCAAATAAGTCTTTTGTCCTTTAAATTCATAGTTAATTTCCTTTAGAAATCAAGACTATATATATTGTATAGTTTCCCTCATATAACTGAACATTTTCACAGTTTTTTCTCTAGAAGCAGTAAAAGGCAAAAGTATGTGTCAGAAAAATGCATGTGACGTATCAAGAAGATTACGAAAGGTAATATGAATCTTTCAGAAAAGAAATGAGGTTCACAAGAATGTAATTGTTTCTTGTTTATCTTTCAAAAAGTAAATGAATAGCTTTAATATTCTTTTTGTGTAAAATAAAGGTAAAATAAAGGTTGAGTTAAAAAGAATGAGTAGTTTATTATCAAAGAATATGGGATGTAATAAGAGAGAGGTTCGTGCAGTAAGTTCAGTTCCTTAAGTTTTGTCAAATTATATCAATTAACAATACTAAAAAATAAGCCTCATTTCAAAAACAGTGATCAGTATACAAAAGTATTAAACTTTGTTCCAACTTTGTGATGGTTATGTATATATTTTGTTGGTTTGTTTTGGAAAATTGTGGGTATCCATTAATAAAAGAATATAAAATTCTGGTTTATTAACATGATTTCATTGTTAGTATAGAATACTCATCCCTGTAAGAAGGAAAAAGAAAAAAAAGGGAGAAACGTAAATATTCTTCATTTGGGCTTAAATATAAGCCCAAAAGAGTATGTTTATTCAGCTTCCCAATTACTACTGCTTTTTTAATCTATGCTGCCTAGAATACATAGTTTGCCTTCTTTAATAAAGTAACTAAAGAAATGAATCAAGGAAATGCTATGGATATATGCTGTACATATACTTAGAATTGGGAGGGTCTAAGTATACTACAAGTATAAGGCATTTGACAAAGCAGACCACAACTTATTTCGTGGTAAGATAGAACAATGTGAGATGGATAGTACCATCACCAGATGGATTCACAATTGGCTGACAAACCACACACTCCATATCTGGTCTTCAATGGAATTGCATCCATGTGGAAGGAAGCATGCATGAGGGTTCCTCAAAGTTCTGTCTTGGGCCCAGTGTTCTTTAACATCTGCATAAATAATGTAGATGAAGGAATAGAAACAGGATTCATGAAATCTGCAGATGACACCAACCTTGGGGTGGGGAGGGGAATTGCTACTACTTTAAAAGATAGACTCAAGATTCAGAAGGACCTTGACAGATTTGAACAATAGGCCCTAAGAGGTAATTCAGTTATGAGAAAGTAAGGTTCTGAAAAAACAAATGCTCAGGTATAGAACAGACAGTACCTGGATCAACAGTAATAACTATGTGAGAGATTTAGGTGTCCTAGAGGACTATCTGAGCATGAGCCAACATTGTGCTACAGTTGCCAAAGAAGCCAATTTAGTCCTAGGCTACATCAACTTTTTATTATCAAGATAATAAAAAGTGATAATACTGTTCTATATTACACTAATGAGGCCACACTTGGTATACTATGTCCAGTTCTGGTTGTCACGATTAAAAAAAGATGACGAGACCCTAAATAGAGTACAGAGAAGAGTATCAAAGAGGTCCAGTAGTACCTCTTAACTGTATGATAAATGATTAAAGGAAATAAGTATGTCTAGTCTAATGAAGAGGAGGAATGGTGTCAGACCTGCCCCAAATCTTACTCTAGGAAAGAACGACCCTAGACTCCATTTGATTGAAGTAATAGGTACTTTTACTAGTGTAGAATGGTTGCAAGGCAAACAAGAAGAATTTCCACATAAATCTTTCCTTCTTTCCTGGTATACCTCCCTTGAGCCAGTCACCAGTATCCAATAGTACGTCATTTGGAAGTTTTGGGAACCGTTTGATGGTGAGCAGTCTATCCACTCATTTTCAGGCCGGTTGTCCTTGATGTCTGGAGTAAACTGGCACCTGGTTATTCTAACCCTTATCAATTTCCTCTCTCCTATTTCCTTTCTTCTGTTCTCACCCTGGCTCTAACCCAGATTCGATAGTCCCCCCTCCCTCCTGTCCAGGGTGCCAGCAGACGTGCAGTCTGAGGTGCTGAAGATGGTAGACCTGACATTCTTCCCTCCTGAACAGGGATGTTAGTCCTGGAAAGAAAAAGAGACAGCAAAAAAAAAAAAAGAGAGAGAGAGAAGGAAGGGAGAGAGAGAAAGGAATATAGGCATCTTCTTGGTTTATTTGGGTATTTGGACTGGAATTTTTTCAGCAAGCGCAGGGCATTGACATGGTGGGCATCTACTCATTCAGTTTCTGATGGGAGGAAATGCTTCCAGGCAATGAGATATTGGGTTTTCCCTCTATGTGTGCAAGAGTCCAGAATGTCCTTAATCTCAAAAATGTTCACCTTCAATGAGGATAGGAGACGGAGGTGGTAGTTCAGTAGGACGCAGTGGAGGTGTTCTCAGATTTAAGCAGTTTTTTGGAGGCTGTGTTGATTGAAGATCCTTAGTGGATAGGTAGACTAAGTCTCCTATTTTAAATTCTTTTGGTAGAAAATGTTTTTTTGTCTGCTTGCTTTTTGTGTGTACCTGCTACCCATTTCCTAATGTTCATCAACCATTGGCCAGGTGTTTGGAAGTTGGGTCACCCATTCTGCCAGGAAGGAAGGTTACATTAATTTTGGTAACGTAATTTGGGCATGTCTACAAAATCTTGGCCTGAAGCCACCTTGAATGGCTTAAAGCTAATGCTACTGTGGACAGAATTATTGTAGGCTACTTCTGCAAAGGGAAGCAGATCAATCCAATTGTCTTGTTGGTAATTGACATAGGTACAAATACTATGAGGTATTTATCTAATACAGAATTTGTACATTTACAGGATCCATTAGTTTTTGGATGATGAGAGAAGCTAAGTCCCTGGGAGAGTTTAAGAAACTCTTGCCAGAACCAAGAGGTAAATTAAACTCCCCAATCTGAGATAATGCATTCAGGGATATAATGTAAGCTGTAGATGTGCTGAATAAACAGTTTAGCCAGCATGCACACTGAAGGGATTTTGTGACAGGGCACAAAGTGCACTTGTTTAGAGAAGAGGTCAGTTATGGCCCAAATAATAGTATTGCCAGCACTTTCAGAGAGTTCAACTATAAAGTCCATGGATACTTCTTTCCATGGGCTTGGAGTTTGACTACTCCAAGTAGTTGAAGATGGGGATGACTGTGGCTTGTGACCATAGTTTTGGCAAGGAGCTGGTCCTGAAAGATTTTTCAAAGATTATGCTTGGAGGTTCGGCTATGGCAGTGGATAGCTTTTTTAAGAAGTAGGCACATGTTATGTCCGGTCCAATAGATAGAGATGGTTTTAGATTGCGTAGTGTTTTTTCAACATTGTTGAAATGTTGTTGTTGAAGTCCTTATTTTTTTCCCCTGGCACCATTTTGCTGAGTCACACATGAGACAGGTGGCTACATAGTTTTCAATGTCCTTTTTTCAAAGATGGCCATCAGAATTGGCACTTTACAAAGTGTAAAATTTTTATGAATTCAAAATGACCAGCTGTTTTAGAATCATGGCTCTTTTCGTTTGTTGGCTTTTGGGGAAATATAGCTTGGATGCAATCCATGCAATTCAATCAAGCATTGTGCATTCTGCTTTATGGTCCCATAACCACGGGGCTGAACTTAGACCCTCTTTTAAGGAAGTAAGTGGGCATGGTTTCTCTACATTTCAGGTTATTGCTGGAACTGCTAGTTGTTTTGAGGAATCGCTGCTCTGTTTCTTTTCTTTTTTTTTCACTATTGTACTTGGGCAGCCTGGATAGGATGTCTGCAAGGAAATTTTTTCCTTCCCAAGCGGTATCATAAAGTAAAATTGAATCGATTGGGCCCACCAGACATGTTTAGGTGATAGTCTCCTGAGAGTCTTTAGTGCCTCTTATTCTTATGATGTCCAGAACTCAGATGGGATTTTGCTCCCTTCTAAGAAATGCCTCCAATTGAGCAGAAACCACCAGACTGCATATGCCTCTTTCTCCCATATTGACTACCTGCACTGGCTTTCAATAAGTTTTTTAGAGGTATAGCATAAGGCTGGAGGATTCCTTGATCATTTTTCTATAGCAGCACAGCCCCCATTGCCATGTCGCTAACATCTGCCTAAATGATGAATAAGGAGGTAGGATTTGAGTGCTTTAGCACAGACTCAGCCACAAACAAGTGTCTGAGGTTTTCAAAAGTGGCTTGACATTCCATTGACCATTTAAGAGATTGTCTGCTTTCGGCTTTCCCTCTCCTTTGGTCTTTAGCAAGTTTGTCATGGGTAGGCTGTTTGTGCAAATGTGGAAATGAATTGGTGGTAAAAGTTGGTGAACCCAGAAAACTCTGACATTTCTTTCTGGTGCGAGGACAGCCCAATCAGACTGCTTGGACTTTTGCATGGTCCATTTTGATTGCCTTGTGGGAGATACGGTACTCTAGATAATCAATTTTGCTTTGATGGAGTTCACCTTTCAATAGCTTGGTACACAGTTTGGCACCTGCAGCTTTTTTAACAAGTTTCACACTAGCTTCACTTGCTCAGCCATAGTTTCTGTGTAGATCAAAATGTCACCAAGTACAGTAAGACTCCCTTGAATAAGTGTTTGTGAAGTACTTTGTTAATTAACTGCATGTATACAGTGGATGCACAGAATTAAAAACATCTGAGTGGGAAGTTAAAAACAGTTTCCATTTATCCACTTCTTTGATTCTGACTCGATAGTAAGCCTCCTGCAGATCCAGTTTTGTAAAAAAAAAATTAAATGCCCTTTGGCCAGATGAGTTAGCAAGTCCTGCATAAGTGGCAAGTGGTATATATCTTCCATGCATCCTGCATTTAACCCTCGATAGTCGACACAGAGATGAAGGGACCTATCCTTCTTGGAAAAGTACTGACACTACTTGTAATCTAACTGGCTGAATAAAGCCTTGTTTTAAGGTTTAGTTAATAAAAGCCTGGAGCTCGTTAAGCTCCCTTGGAGTCTTTGAATATACAGTAGTTTGGTCTTAGGCAGTTTTTCTATAGAGCAATCTATGTGGTTGTGGCAGTGTTTGTCTGAGCCCTTTTCACTAAACACATCCCCTAGGTCTTGATTTAGATTTGGGTCTCCTTCATGTCTGTCCCCACATCCCCTCTGGGTTTCACTGTAGTTTCTCTTCTTCTGAGTTTGGGCATCCTTCCCCTGGAATTCGCCTTAGTTCCCGCTGCCAGATTTTTAAGAGATGCTTCCTCCAGTTCACATAGGGATTCCACTTTTGAAGCCAAGCACAAGGGGCCTTTCTATGCCACAATGAAATTTAAAGTATCTGTGTGCTCCCCCATCATTATTTCTATTTGGTGACAAATGTGGTAGGGGCTTCCCCGGCCACTGACCCATCGAGCTGGCAGAATGCCACAGGCAGTTTAAGAGGCAAGCCCATTTCTTCCACTAAGGCAGGGCTGTCCAGACATCTGGTGCAGCCTGAGTCCAGAAGGACCACCAGCTTCCCCTTCTGCCCTGATGAGGGAGCCACTAGTTCTGGTCCAGCTGGTCCAGTCACCAGTATTACAGAGCAACTTACCAAGGGGTCTTTGTCTGCTTTCACCCAGGCTCTTTGGATCTTTGTTCGGAGTTCTTATGCTCTCGGAGCGGGGTGGGGTGGAACAACTTCACAACCTGTATCCATTTCAGAACTGTCTCTCAGATTCTTGAGGCCAGTTTCCCTCATTTCTTGGTAGGACCTATCATGAGCTTCTTGATTGGGTGTACTCTGACATGCAGCAGTCAGCAGTTGGGTGTCCCTCAACTCCACACTTGAAACATCCGCTGGAGACCAACGGGAGATTTGCTTGCTATCCCGCAGCTTCGGGGTCTCCCTTCTTTTGGTGGTATGGGGTCTTCTCCATTCACAGCTAGCACAGTTTCAAAATTTGGCCAAATCAATCTCTACCTCATGGCAAGGATATACCATGGGTGCAGAGTGCAAGGGGCCACTCAGGAAATGCAGATACATCATCATTCAGTCCATCCTGGAAGCACTCAATCAACATGTCCTGCAGCCACTCATTCAGCTTGCAGACTAGACTGCAAAACTTTTGTCTGTAGGCAGCCAAGGATCTTCACCCTTGGTTAATGGTCTTCATGTGAATTCTGGCCTTCTGGTTGTGTCTTCAAATCTCTTACAAAGGGCCACACGAACTGATTGAAATTACGCAGCTCTGGAGTGTCTTTATTATGCAGAGCCACTATCCACTCCATTGTGACTGTTTCTAGGCTTTACTTTTATTTCTTTGATGGGCAGTTGTTCCCCATACTCCTGCATATATATCCACACCTGGATCAGGAAGGCCAGATGTTTTGGATTACTGCCAAACTTCATTCCCAGGGCAAGGGGTTTCTGCTCCGTTCTCCTTAGTGTGGGAGCCAACTGGGCTTGAGGTTGCTGAGCTGCTGGGGGTGGATTAGCTGTAGCTGAGGTGCTGGGCCTTGGGCTACAACCACCAGGGGAGATGCAGCCATTGGGGCCAGGGCCTTCTAGGTCTTGAAGTTGCCAAATGCCCCTCTAAGGAAATCGAATGCCTGTTTGAATAGCATAACTTCGTGATCAAGCTCATCAAGCGCCATGATCTCTTCCTCATTGCGGTGGGGTTCTCTGCTGCAGCTTCCGTGACTGTCCTTGGAAGTTGACCCCAGAAGGCTTCTGCCAATCTTCTTTTTTTCCTGACACCTAGGGACAACTTGGGCTTCGGCTGCTTGCCACAGGCTTCAAGTTCCACTAGCTACTCGGGATGATCTCTTCTGCTTTGGGGTTTGGCTGCTGCTTCAGCTGAGGCTTCTCCCTCCTGTTTGCTGTTGCAAGCTGACATCGTGTGATGGTCTCCATGGTAGAGGATGTCTCCAGGTTGACTGATTTTAGAGATCCCACCTAGTGTCAGGCCTGCCCCAAATCTAACGCTAGGAAAGAATAACACTAGACTTCATTTGGTTGAAGTAATAAGTACTTTTACTAGAGTAGAATGATTGCAAAATAAGTAAGGCAGGATCTAAAGAATTCCAGAACAAACCATGAAATTTTTGCTTCCCTCCTGATCCACCTCCCCTGAGCCAGTCACCAGTGTCAAGTAGCAAGGCATTTGGCTGTTTTGGAAACCTTTTTATGGTGGGCAGTTTAGCCATTCATTCCCAGGTTATCCTTGAAATCTTGAGTAAACTGGTATAAGCACCCGATTGTTCTCACCCCTGTCAATTTCCCCCTCCCTCCTGCTTCCTTTCTTCCATTCTCACCCTGGTTCTAATCCACATTCCATAGTCCCCCTTCCTCCTGTCCTTTGATGTCAGGATTTGAAGTGCTGAAGCTGGTAGACCTGACAATTGGGGTAACATAGCTATCTTCCAGTATTTGAGGGGCTTTACAAAGAAGAGTTGTTCAATTCATTCTTCAGAGCATCTGAGGGAAGAATGCAATGGGTGGAAGCTCATAAAATAGACACTTAAAAGTTTTTTTTGACATCCATTCATTGAAGATGGTACAAAGAATTCTATCTTGAGTATAGTGTTGGACTAGAAGAGCTCCAAAGTCCTTTCCAGTCATATGATTCTATATAGATAAATAATATTCCAAATCTCCCTCTAGACTAGGGGTCTCCAATCCCATCCATGGACTGGTACCAGGCTGCGGCATGCCAGAAACCAGGCCACACAACCAAGTGAAGCCGCATTTCTTGAGTCTGCAATGAAGCAGTTTGATAGTGGCCCTGCGGTCCATGGTAAAACCTCTCTGCATGGAACTGGTCCCTGGTGCTCAAAAGGTTGGGGACTTTATTCAGTGTATAGTGCAATAAATACATTTGCCAATGATAAACTGTTAATGTTTTTGATACTGTTTGTATTTTTATATAAGTAAGAAAAATAAGAAAAATGCTGATTTTTATCTTTATAAAGAAAGGATTTTTTTTTTACTTCAGGCAAAAAACCTAATAGAGAAATTCTTTAGCCAACAAGTTGAAGTTCTTGGAAAAAGAACAGCACCACTACCTGAAATATACTACATTGAAGGCTCTCTGCAAATGGTGTGGATTAATCGTTGTTTTCCAGGTTATGGAATTAATTCTCTACTACACCCAGATTGCCCTAATTGTTGTGGTAGGTTGGAAGTATAACAGTTTTCAGGATTATAAATACAGGCTACAAAGATATTTTTAGAGGAATTGTCTGCTTAGCCTTTTATTACAACAGAGTTAGTATATTTATTGCTAGTGATAAATTTGGTTATTATTTTTTATGGTTTGGTTGCATAGTTCATGGTGAATATCTTGAAAATGAAATGTCACTGCAAATGAGTTGATTACTGTGATAAACTAACTTGTTGGCATTTGTTCATTGTGACCCATAGAGATGAATTCTGACCTAGTATAAAATCAATTTTAAATCAAAATGTATTGTGACTACCATTATGATTAGTATATTGACTTGTACCTATCTTTTCTAGAATAGATGATAATTACTCTAAAGAATTGGAGTTAAGAGTTCTTAGGGCTGCATTTTGTGAAAGCAAAGTTTAAAAGACTAATTTGCTTTCTTGAGTCTGCAATGAATTTCTGCTTTTAATAAATAGACATTCTACAATCACTCTGTATTTGGGAGTGCTTCCTTTGTACCAAACTTTAAATGCTACTGAATTAAAAGGGAAAAAGATTGATGCTATTGACTGAAAACCGTATGTGCCTATTGTTTCATCTCTGAATCACAAAATATAAGGTCAGCTTGGTTATGAGTGAATTTTTCTTACCTTACCCTTTTTCTTCTTCATTGATACAAGCAATAGAATATTGAAGTTTTTCATGCCAAAACCACAATATTGCAAAGCAGCTGTTTGATATTGCTTGGCACTCTCCATTTTATGCTCCTAATCCATAGAATCCATGCTCCTAATCCATGGAAAATTCCAAGATTAGACGCTTGATTCAAATCCACAGATTTTACAATATAGAACTGAAAATATGCTGTTTGAGGGAAATAGGTACAATAGATAATGAGAAAATATTTCCAAGAACAATTTCCTGCACTCTTTTGAAGATGGGCTACCAATCCAGTTAATCCCCTTTTTGTTAATTTTGAAGATGGGCTACCAATCCAGTTAATCCCTTTTTATTAATTGCTTTTTTATTAATTGTTAATCCATTCCCGTTATTTAGATAGAAGTCTCTGTTTTATTTCTGTGGAATCGGGCAGAGTTTATTTCATGTGACATATATTACAATAGAAAGTTGGGTTTATTTTGATAATAAGGAACTCAACTATTGTTTAGAATTCATTTTCTTTAGGAGAAAGAAAGCACAATCTGGGGTGGAGTTAAAAGAAGGATCAGCTCTCCATAGCCACTAGGGAACTAAGTTATATCTCTCTTGAATTGACTCTTATCTAATAGTTAGAATCTGTTTGGGGTTAGATAAGGATATTTGGAATTCAAGGGAAATTAGACTTAGTTCACATGTAGCTATGTAGAGATTCTTGGTTCATTCCCTTTTTTAAACTCTGCCCCCAAGTTCTGCCACTCCTATATTTTCCCTTCCTATGAGAGTTGACTCCATCTCTTTTCATTCTCTTATGTGTGAGATAAAAGTATTCTGTCAAGTATGTTTGAAGTTTTGTTTTAAGTTTTTATGATGCAAAGGACAATGGCCTCCAGCTTGCATTGAACTTTCAAGATCAACATATAAGTATTTGTTTTTAATTCTGTTTGTCTCATCTGAACCTTTAATAAGTGCTTTCTGTTTGGTCTTCATATATAAAAATGAACAATTGCTTTGAGGTAAAATCTGAAGATGTTATTGCTTTGTGGCAGAATTAAGTGCTGATTTCCTGTCTTATGAAAGATTTTTAGAAATGGATGGCAGTTATTATTCTTTAGTGCTATGAGCTGGCGAAATATTCTTGCCCTGTCCTTGTGAGATATTCAAATAGTGCCTTTGTCAGCTTTATTTTTTTGACTAATGTGCTTTTTGTACATTTGTTGGGCTGCAACCTTCAAATTTAATAAGACATTGTTACTTGAGATTGTAATGTCAGGAGGATGCAGTCTTTGTGCAATATTGTATTCAATACTCTCCTAGACTACCTACTTCACAGTAAGAGTGTGGATTCATCTATGTGACTCTTAGAGATTAAAATGAGAAAGAGATGGGTCTTCAACTGTAAACCTTCAAATTATCATCTAAATTTTGAAAACAAGTCTTTCCTCTGATTTGGATTGAAAATTAGAAATCTTGGATTCTATCCACTGTAATGGTTATTGCATTGAGTAACCATTGGGCTTCTACCAAAAACTCTCAAGTTCTGTGACACTTCAAATCTGAACTGGAATGCATCCTCTATGTCAGGGGTTCCCAACCTGGGGTGCTCGCACCCCCTGGGGATGCGAGACGATATTCCAGGGGGTGTGAGAAAAGTCCAGGTAAATAATAGGATATTGGCTATATGTTGGCATTTTTATTTATTTATTTCAGGGGGTGCGAGGTTCGAGTGAAATTTCTTTAGGGGTGCAGGGCAAAAAAAAAGGTTGGGAACCACTGCTCTATGTGCATTCATAGATGAGTACTAGAAGACTGCAGGTAAATAACTGTGCACAGCGGGGAATATGCACAATAAAATGTACAAATTGTAACCTTATATATTAGGTAAGTGTGCAATTGAGCTCCATGGCTAAACCTTATTAAAATTACCTTAAATCTCAGATTTAAGCCTTCCTAAATTAATGTTAGCTATATTTTTTGCCTGTAAATAGAGGTAGAATATTTTGTGATGCTTATTTTTGTCAGGTTGAAATAGTGTCAAGGAATGTTACTGTAAGGCTATTGAGTTGCAATCATTCATTACATTAAAAAATACTTGGTTTTTTTTAGCATAGATCTCAAAAGTACCAGTTTACCTACTCATACATTGAGTAGGGGTGTGGGGCCTGTGGTAGTGCACCGGGAGCTTGGTGGCTGTGGCAGTGCATTGGGACAGCTGGGGAGGCTGCGGTGAAGTGGCTGCGGCAATGTGGCTATAGCTAATTGTCCCAATTCAAGCTGGGAAGGTTGCAAATGACAATCATATCTGGAATGACACAACTATTGTAAATACATTCTGATTGCCAAATGCCTGAATTTTGATAATGTGGCTCTGTGGATGCTGTGATGGTCATAAGTGCAAGAACAAGCCACTTTTTCCAATGCTGTTGTAATTTCAAATGGTCACTAAATGAATGGTTGGAAACAGAGGACTATTTGGACTGAAGAAGATTCGAATCTTGGAAGCAAATGAACAGCACAGACCCTGACCCTGTCTTACTATATTTGCTAAAGTTCTTTAAAGTTCATTAAATTGCTGGAAAAAATCACTCAAGGACTCAATAGTTTCATTCATAAGAATTGTTGGGAGCACATCTACATAACAAACCAAGCCAATCATAATGATCGATAATAGATCCATAACTTAACAAAATTTATATTTTATTTTGATACTAGTTGTGAAACATTTATCTGAGTTTTCATATAACACAATACCCCAAGAAATCCAATACCAAATGTTCTGTACCTGTAGTTATTCACATTGACTCCTCTAGTGGAAGATAAATCTTAGAATATGATGGGATGGGGCAGAGATGTTACCTATATACAATGTGTTTACAGATAACTGATGGAGTCTTCTCAAAGTTTTGTTCACTTATGATGGCTATCTTATACTTTTTACATTTACTTCTGCCTCCTATATCCTTATTTTATTTTTTCTTAAAACATCTTTGTGAGTCTTAATACAGAATTTAGGAAATAAAATCCCATGTAGACAAGACTTCTTGAAGCAATTAACTGGCTTTGAATTTGGAATCTTCATTTGATTACAGAAAATTATACTACATTTGATGACATTATTATTTTTGTTTTGTTATGTTTTGCTTTCTTTTGTTATAGTTGTGTGCAGTCCAGGATCATTCAACCCTCATGAAGGAACTCATTGTCTTCAATGCAACAGAAGTCTGACATATGGAGCCAAACATTGTTATTAGACTGTTAGCATAATCCTTTTGCTATGTTTAGTAACCTTCTTGTACTTTACATCTTTACAAGCCAAATAAAAGGATTTTTTTTTTAAAAAAAGTCTATATATTTATATTACATTATTACATTTACATGAGGCATACTATCGGGTGGGATTCAATTTTTTTAACAACGGGTTCTGTGGGCGTGGCTTAGTTGGTGGGCATTGCTTTGTGGTCATGTGACTGGCTGTGCATGGCCAACTCAACATCACTCACATTGAGGCACGCATCTCCTTGCCTGGCCTCTCATGACTGTGGGGATGCTGCAACAGTCGTAAGTATGAAAAGGGTCATAAGTCACTTTTTTCAGTGCCATTGTAACTTTTAATGGGCACTCCACACAAGCAAAGTATCAGCAAAGGAGGGGAAAAAAACTCCGGAGAAGTTCCTGAGACAGGAAGTCTAGTCCTGCCAAGAATGTAATAAGGGTTAACGGAAAGGCAGTTTCTGTAAGCAACACCAGAACATTTCCTTCCTGCCTGCCTTACAGGATTAGGCCAGTAATTTCTTTTAACAACTGGTTTCCAAACTGCTTAGAATGTTAACAACCAGTTCTAGCGAATAGGTGCGAACCTGTAGAATCCAACCCCTGCATACTATGTGGCAGAAAAGAATAAGGAAAAATTTCCTGACAGAGCAATTAATGTAATGGTTTGCCTTCTGTAGTTGCAGGTGCTCCATCACTGGACGTTTTAAGAGAAGATTGGTCAACCATTTGTCTAAAATAGCATAGGGTCTCCTGCTTGAGCAGGAAGTTGGACTAGAAGACCGCTAAGGTCCCTCCCAACTCTATTACTCTATTCTAAAATATTGTTGCATTCCCCTGGCAATTCTGTAATTCTGAAGGTGCAATTATTTAAATTTTAAGAGGAGAACCTTCCAAATATCTTTGGTTTTAGAAAATTCAACATCATAGATATGAAACATGACAACATAATATAGGAAATCGTCAGTTTCTCAGTCTTATGGGATGCAAGAGTGTTAGATCCTGACACTTGCTGATTCCACAGTTCAATCTTGTGTGAGGGAAAAAAGGTTTTTTTTTCTTCGTTTAAGAATATTTTGCTGTTAGTAGATAACACTAAGCAAAAGTACAATACTTAGAATTGATCTGTTAAGCAAAGTTTCTATTGATTTTGTTTATGTTACAATTATAATAGATTCTAGCTCCCTTTCAATTGCAATAAATGGCCTAAATGACCATTCGATTCTTTTAAAAATGCCTTTCATTTTTCCTTTTGATATTTAGAGGTTCAGAATGTATCTGATAAGAAAAACCTCTGAACTCTTATGCAGATATCAGATATTTAGGCAAGAAAATTAAAGAGTTACAAGCAGAGTGGTGTTTTCATTGGAACTTTAACATTCAATGAGAGAACAAAGGATTGTATAAATGAACCAGTGGTTTAAGGGTTGGTGCCACCAAGAAAACTTTGGATTCTTAGACTATAGTCTGCACTGCCTTCATGAAAGAATGGACAGCATGTCACAAGAAATGGGAAGAATATATTTTGAAAATGACTGGCTCAACTTATCAGAACGGCTTTAAATGAAAAATGAGGGAGAAGGGTGACCAATCTTTAGGACAATCCTTATGATCTTTGGGATTTAATTCCAAGCACAAACCTCAAGACAACCAATCAAACAATGAGGTAGAAAGTGATGGGAAGGAGGAACAACTGAAAGAGAAAACAGGAGATATAGGAAGCATATCTCCAGGTCCAGCAATAAAAGGACTCAAATGCCTATACACAAACGCTCAAAGGTTAGGATACAAACAGTAAACTCGAAGAACTAGTACATGAAGGCAAGTATGATATAATTGCCATTACAGGAATTTGATGGTTTTAACGGAGACAAATTGCATCAAGTGGGAGATTGAACAGGTTCCTGACCAACTTAGCTGACAAATCAAGTAATTGATTTGCGAACACCTAGAAGCAAGTAAAATTATAACAGAAACCAACATGGGTTTGTCAAAAACAGATCAGGTCAAACAAACCTTATTTCATTCTTTTACAAAGTCACTAAATTAGTGCATCAGCAAAATGCTGTGGACACAGCATATTTGGATTTTAGTAAGGCATTTGACAAAGTAGACCACAATATACTTCTTGGTAAAAATGTGACATAGCATCACTAGATGCATTTGTAATTAGCTGACAAATCATACTTAACAAGTAGCTCTTAATGGTAGTACATCTACATGGAGGGAAGTAAGCAGTGGGATACCACAACTTTCTATCTTAGGCCCAGTCTTCTTCAATAGCTTCATAAACAGATGAAAGAGTAGAAGGGAATTCCATCAGATTTGCAGACAACACAAAGATGCTAGGAATAGCCAATATCCCAGGTGACAAACTCAGGATCCAAATGGATCTTGGCAGACATGAACACTTCAAAAAATGAAATTTAATGTAGAGAAAAGTAAGGTTTTACATTTAGGCAGGAAAATCAAATGTATAAGTACAGATTAGTTGAAACCTTACTCAAAAATAGTAACTGTTAGAGGCATCTCAGAGTCCTAGCGGATAATCATTTTAGTATGAGCCAACACTGCCGTGGCAGCCCAAAAAGCTAATACAATCCTTGGTTGCATAAACATGGGATAGAGTCAAGATCCTGTCAAGTATTAGTATAACATAAGTATTAGTACTAATATTATAAATACTAATACTTATAAAATCTTATTAAGACCACATCTGGAATATTACATCCAGTTTAGGTCACCGTATTATAAAAATGATGTTGAGATTTTTTTTTTTAAAGAGTACACAGAAGAGCAACTAAGATATGATTAATAGTCTGGAAAGTAAAACAAGAACAGTTTCAGGAAATGAGTATGACTAGTCTAGAGAAAAGAAGGAGTAAGGGTGATATGATAGCAGTATTCCAATATTTGAGGAGATGCCACAAAGAAATGAAACATCTTCAAGGAAAGACCAGTTGCCTTTGGGATAATTCAAACTACTGGTTTTAAGTTTTCAAACCAGGTGTCTTTTTTTTCTAAGCTACTCAGACCCAACATTAAAATATATAAACTTTCTCTAGATCCCTTCACCAAATGCCATAAGAAAGCTTTAATAGAACCCAACACTATTCCTAAATGATGGTTTCCTCATTAGCATTTTTTCAGGCATTCAAGACAATTAATACAGCATTGGATAACTCAACCATTTACCCGTACCCCTTTTTGTGAAAATTTTAGGAGAGCTTGGCAGTATAGCTGGAGAAATCCAACATGCATGTAAAAATCACTGTCAGATCTGTGTATCTGTCATTTCTTCAGTGGAAGAAGAAAAGCGGGGGGGGGGGGGGAGGCTGATAAAGAAATCCTTTCTTGATGTAACCTGAATATATTTAATCTTATATCGAATTTGTATAACCCACACATGATACGATGGAGGGAGAAAAGCCAGATGGCCAGAACTATCACCTCTGAGAGGCACAACCAGGAGATGAGAAGGTCATAAAAATTCCACAGTGAGATTGTACTTTGGGAATCTCTTGAATAGTTCGTTCTAACAAGAGGGGTGGGGGGGAATTAACATACTGGCTTTTGTTTCACTAAATACACATCGAGATAAGGGGAGGGGTTCTAAACTCCCTTATGTATCCCTGAATGCCTGAGAGACCTCAGACGCTGCTTTGAACTCCTGCAGGAATTGTCTCATCTCAATAAAGAATTCCTTTGTGATACGTTTGGATACGTTTTCAAAAGTTCATTCTAGTTGAGTGAATGGGAAAAGTTCTGTAGCCTGACAATCATTGTGCATTTGGATTCCAACTGGGTATTCTGCAGGGAGAGCAAGAAAGATGAAAGCTGTATAACAATGCAAGCCCTTCCCCTTTTATAGTTGCAGTATACACATATACAGTGATATTACATCACATGGATCAAGGAAGCCTCTACCAGCGCCACTATACTGATTTACTTAACCAAATGGTATATCGTTTAAAATTCAAGGTTAATTCAAAGATTATGGATTACTTTCTTTTGCTGCTTCAATATGATGTAGTTACACTGTCCTCTTTACAATTGTATTTCGTTCACTTATATCCCACAGAAATCTAGTTAGTATTACTCACAATGGAAATATATGGATACGCAGAAAATACTAAGTAGATGGGTATTTCTATATGTGGTTAACTCATATTTTGAGGGTGACGGTCAGCATCCATGTTTATATGTTATATAGTGTAGTTATAAATTTTTTATTCTGTAATTTTCTTGATTACAGGCTGTCCAATCTCTTCTTAAAAGCTTCCAGTGATGAAGAACCCACAACCTCTGAAGGCAAACTGTTTTACTGCTTAATTGTTCTCACTGTTAGGAATTTTCTCCTTAGTTCAAGGTTCTTTTTCTCCTTGATTAATTTCCATTCATTATTTCTTGTTTTCCATTCTGGTGCTTTGGAAAATAGCCTCTTCTCATCAATGAAGCTTCTTCAGTTTTTAATGAAGCTTCTTGGGTGAGGAGAGAAATGTCTTCAAGGAAAAGCAAAGTCCAGTTGTGTCTTGAAAAAGCACCTTCGTGATAACCATAACCTGAATTACTGAGAATTTCCATAGACAAGTAGTTTGAGTTAAATTCATAGATGCACACAACACATATATCACACTATTAAGACAAAATGAATTTATCATGCAGAGCTGATTAATGATTTAGTTGCTTTTTAAAAAAAACTTTCAAAGTTTTCAAATCAACCTCAAAGGCTTTTCCCAATAATTTTGTATAAGGTTGCTCTTCTATTTTTTTTTACTTTTAGAGGGAGTGAATATCTTTGAAGAGCAATGCTAATAGTACAACATACATGAACATTTTCAGAAGGACATGACTGGAATTGCACAAAAATAGCTGTTTGTATAAACACTTTAAAAATTCTGAAATAAATCAACGTTGGTTTGCCAATGTGTATACATTTATTTCTGAAATTAACTGTGCATGTACAGAGACGTTTGTTTTTCATGCTAACACTTGGCATGAATAGTGTGTTTGTGTATGTATACAGTATCT